AGGGAAATGTGTCATCGTCGTCGATATCAGTGCTGGGTAGATTGATATCAGAGTTGGGTAGATGGATATCAGGGTTGGGCAGATTTTGAACTGGTACAAACTAAACAAAAAATAATAATGAAAAAACAGATGTGAGAAATTTAATGATACAGTAATTAGGACATTGGGAATATATTGTGGGAAGATAAACTTACTTCGTCTGATGCGGTCTTCATGAGTGCTTCGGCTTTAGTTCTGAATGCTCTTGCAGGAGATTTGACAGGGATCTGCATTTAAAAAGAAATTTTATGATAGTGATAAGAAAAAAAAAAAAGATATAAAAACAAACCTCATGACTCATAAAACATATAGAAATAATGATATAGTAAAGAAGAAAAAACAAAGTAATGAAACCTCGTTTGTTGTCTCAACGCTAACATCAGATGACTTCTGAAAAGGCTACAGACATATTCCCAAAAAAACATCAAAAAGGTGATAATATTGATGTAATTGTTATCATAAATGTGATATAGACAATAAAGATTATAATTAAAAATAAATATCATCTCTTTTTCAGCTGATATGTCAATACCATCATCGGGCATTCCACTTCCATCACGGACTCCGCTCGTGTTACCTTTGTCGCTGTGTTGTCCTTTACTTGAACCACCCTAATGTATAATGTTAATGTGATGAGATTACAATAGATACTTTCATTAACAAATAACATAACACACACAACAAATATATATATATATAGATAACATGTTCATATTGTATAAACAGAATCAACTAACTTTTATCATATATATACCATATATATACTCAGTGAAAAGTTACATTACAAATTATACCGCATATATACCATAAATAAACCACAGAAACAAATATGTATCCCTCTGCAAAATCACAGTATATATACCACAAAAATCTGTGGTTAAGAACATCAATTTTATCTTATATATACCATATATATAACCTGTGAAGACTTAAAGTACATAAATATACCACAAATATACCATAAATATACAACATGATCAAATGTATACCATATGTTTATACCATATATACCCTGTGCCAATTGCAATTTTACCCCAAGAAATAAATGTATACCACAGCAACAAAATATTAATCGCAGCAACAAATATGTATCCCTGTGCAAAAATTACCAAGAAATTTAATTACCCTGTGCAAAAATTAATTTTACCCCAAGAAATATATGTATACCATAAATATACCACAACAACAAATATGTATCTTTATGCAAAAAATCTGTGCTTATGAACAAATAAATTAAATTATATGTGACCAGTAAAGTAAAATAAAATTTGTTTATGTGACCAGTAATATTTTATGCATATTATGCATGCAGACCAAGTTTACTAAACATAAAAGCAATAAATATCCACAAAAGAGGACAATAGATACCATTTATATACTCTGAGAAAGTAACAGAAACCCACACAATATATATATATATATAAACAATATAATTGTATAAACTTAAAAACCTGTTCATAGTGCATAAACAAAGACAACTTATTTTTATCATATATATACCATATATATGCTCTTAGAAAAGTTACATTACACATTATACCGCATATATACCATATATAAACCACAGAAACAAATATGTATCCCTGTGCAAAATTAAAAGATATATACCACAAAAATATGTGGTTAAGAACATCAATTTTATCTTATATATACCATATATATAACCTGTGAATACTTAAAGTACATATATATACCACATATATACCATATATATACGCAATGGACAAATGTATACCATATGTTTATACCATATATACATGTGCCAATTTAAAGTACATATGTATACCACATATATACCATATGTATACCAAAGGAACAAATATATATCCCTATGCAAATTTACAATATATATACCACATAGTCTGTGGTTAATAACAAATAAATATGGAAATGTCTTGAGGTTTTACAACACCAGAATATTATGACAAACATAAATTTAAATAAATGTGGTTTATGTGACAACTAAATATAGTATACATACATACCAAGTTCAGTAAACATAAAAAATAATGAATATCAACAAGGACTTACAAGGAATTTTTCTTTAAACAAGTCAAACTCGGCAAAAACACGTGTCGAGAATTCGAAGAAGGCTTGTTTCAATTTCTCGAGTTCAGCAGTTATTGAGTCGAGACGGTTTATAACGTCCACCTCATTGGCATGATTGGTATGCTGTGTTGTGGGACTTGAAGGGGTTTCATTTCGAATGAACTCGTTTTTTTTTTCTTGAAGAATGAGTCCACGGAAAGAGCCTGTTTCTCCGCCTCAGTGGGAACAATGTTGTTGAACTGTGCAAAAAAAAATTACGGTTATAAGTACCCCGAACTTCCCGACTTGATTAAAAAAATACGATTTAAAAAGTTATCCATACCGAAATAGAAAAATAAGATAATATAAGATATTACCTTGGAGTGTTTCAGATTTAAGAAGGTCCTTTCCATAAAAATACGGCTATAAGTACCCCGAACTTCCCACTTGTTCAACCTTGGAATATCATTTCCACCAACGTACATGCATACTACACCTTCCGCGGTGTCGCACACCTCATAGAACCATGCCTGGAGAGCCAATATAAGACCATAACACCTATACAGGTTAGATCTATCGGTCTTGAATATGTGCATTTGCTCTCTCGTCTGAATTGATTTCTTCAGATACAAAAGAGTAAAATCAAACACTTCTCTCCCCCAGGCGAGATCATCGCACTCCGCACTATCAATTAGGTCAACATAACATCGTTCTATGCGAAGAATCTCTTGAGAGCCCATCAGGAAATTCGCCAGTAGATGTAATTTGGCCAATTTCACTGCATCTTCATCACACGACCATGATTTCCTGATAAACTGCCACCTGATGTGGTTCCGGCGTAATTCGATGCCATCAAAATACTTGTCATGGAGACCACCGGATATCTTGGGAATATTCCATTTCTTTATCGAGCCAATGCAGTTCAATCCTGTTATAATAGCAAACTCCTCAATCCCAAACCGGAGTAACTTCCCTCCAAAATCAAACCAGATTTCGTCGCTCCTATTCTGGTGAACCTCACGTAGGAGTATACTGTTAATGAGCTGGTTCTGTATGATACAGTGAGGGAGATCCAAGAACTTCCCAAATGCTGAACACCTAAAAAGTTCCAATTGCTCGGTCGTAAGCGTCTTCTTGATATCAAATATCGTGGATCCATCTCTGGTATTGTCATTGCTGTTTTGAACTTTCACATTTATATCCAACGGATGCGGAATGAGCAATTCCCATTCCTGTAAAAAAATACACAAGGAAAAAACATATATATTATAAGGAACAATATTAGCAACAAAAACATGTGTTGTTCAATAAAAAGTGAAGCAGAAACAAAACCTTGCATATCTTGAAAGGTGTACTACAAAATATAATGAAAAAAACACCCATTATATCACCTGTAATGTAGATTTTGGCTTTTCTAATCTATCATATTATTTCTCAATTATATCAACCAAATTTGTTGTTCTCTTATAAGAAAATAAGCTCCATTACTACTGCTCAACGATACTAAAACATATGACGCATATACTTGAGAAATACTAGCAATATACTAAATGTAGTTGATTCATTGACCGTATATCTAATATAATGACCATAACCGAATGTAATCCAAAACAAAAGACCGTGTCAGTTAACATACCAGGTGACATAAAAAAATCGGATAAAAATTGTTGAAGTCAAATCCAGCCACTGTGTGATTGTAAAGCATAAAGCAACTTAAAAACAAACAGACAAATAGATCAATGAGAATTCCCAGTGTGCATCCACTGTGTGATTGTAAAGCATAAAGCAACTTAAAAAAATATGATGCTCAAGTCAAATAGAGTGGTGTGGACCATTAACATTTGACTATATACATAAGAAATAAGCTGCCAACGACAAATTCTACCTGTAACACTCAACAAAAAATCCAGCCGTTGTGTGTGGACCACAAACAATAAAAATGAAACTGAATAAATTGAACACCGATAACAAAAATTCTTAAATTAATCATATAAATTACCTTATACAAAATCCTTTTTTGAACATGTCGAGGGGCCCTGTGGATGTCGGTGTTATGCATTCTTCTCTTCTTTAATAATTTCTCTTCTTTTTTTTTCTTTTCTGGGCCGTTTCTTTATTTTCTCCTTCAACGTTTCAAGCGGGGAGTCTTCTTCGGCCAAATCTTCTTCACTCCCATTTTCTTCGGTTTGACTGTCATACTCAGAATGAGGGTCTTCTTTGCCCAAAAATATTTCGGTGGGTTTAGTCTTCTTCAATTTACAGGTTCGGCGATTATTTTTCGGCGAATTTGGGTCTGACTGGAAGTCGTCTGAGCCGGGAGATGAAGTAGATTTTTGCATTCTACTCTTGCCGGAAGACTTGCGACTAGGATTAGGGTTTATATCTCTTTCGAAAATTAGTTTTTTTTTAACAAGTTTTGGTTGATTTTTTTGGTGGATTTTACGGAGACGATCACTCGATCTTAGATGAGGTGTGTCGTCGGCATCATCTGTCGGAATTTTTCGATGAGGCCGAGGGATTTTAGTTTTGGCCATTGAATCTTGAGAAGGTATTGTTGCAGAGTGGAGGAGATTGGGAAAAGAAAAAGGTAGGAGACGTATTGCAGAGTGGAGGAGATTGGGAAAAGAAAAAAGTAGGAGACGTGCACTTGCGGTTATTTGTTTCCTTTTTTTTGGTAAGTGTATCTTTAATTCCCCTAAAATCTCTCATTAGCATTTAAAAATTTTGATAACAGTTCTTGTAGTCTTTTAGGTACAATTGAAAATTTTGTTTGTCATTTAGGTAATTTTACAAATAAAAATATAAGGAGTTCAAAAGTGATATTAAAATGAGATATATTAGTGGGGGGTGTAATTTCCTCTTAAGCTTGCCCAGTCCTGGTTCAGGCCGAAAACTGGGGTCACCGAGTTCTTGCAGACCGGTCAACGGGCCTATAGATAATCATTTAATGAGACACCAAAATACACCAACCGTAATAACCAAAATGAATTGTTTCAACTTTCAACTCCATTCCCAACTGAAGGCATGCATCATAAACTAACCCTAAAAGGAAGGCAGCAGGAGCGACTATTCTGTTCTATAGAGATTTCAATCATTCCTTTACTCAACATCTTCATAGACAAAACAATATTCGAGAAATTATATAAAACTTGCCTCATTTTAGAGCATTATCAATTAATATAAGTCTACATGAACAACAAATCCTCGCTGGTTCAATTCAGAAACTAATTCAATCTGCCTCTTCCGGAGAATATTTTCAATGTTTCCCTCGTAATTTACAGGTACCAATTTAGGCTGTTATTATACCAGCCATAACATCACTCTTACCCCGTGCATAGATGGTGTAAATTAATCGGATTGCATCAAGCCAACCATCTAGAGATTCCCAAGACTCAGCAACCTGCAGTTCAAAATACCAAAATTAGAAGTGTTAGTTGTATATTCTTTTAATCCCTACACACTCTCAAAAACCATAGTAACATGATGGNNAAAAAAAAAAAAAAAAAAAAAAAAAAAAAAAAAAAAAAAACACACACACACACACTTTAGAAACAGCCAGCCACATTAAGCGCAAAAATTTACCAAGAAAATAGGCCCATGAACAGTATCAATGCAGAGGCCTGCACCAGGTGGCAATGTAAGATCAGCACATGCGGATACCGAAACAATGTCTGGGACATCAATTCTTATGACAGGTCTACTGTAGGGTGTATCTCCTGATTTTGAAGAAAGGCTTGGTGATGAAATTCTTTGCTCAAATTTGTTAATCTGCATGAAAATAATGCTCAAGTCTAATTCAAGAAAGCAAGTCATGCCATATGGAAGAGGATTGGACAAGTAAATCTAAGTAAAAGAAACTAGACGAGGTTGAAGAATCTTCCTGGAAATACATTACTAAGTTGTAGAGATCAAATAAGGAGTATATGGCTTTAACAGAGGTCAAACCAATCGTTTCATATATATAGATGGAGTGGTTAAAATGGGAACCATTCTTAAAATGTGAACGTAGGGATTAATCACAATCATTCATTGATCTAGATCAAATGGATGTTGTTACAGAACTGAATGTCTTCATCACTCTTAACTATGCGTTATAACATAATGTGAATCGATCAAACTTCTACTCAAGCAGTAATACAGCGATTCTAAATTAAATGTTTGTTCTTCCCTTTCTTTCTCCATTAAATTTACACCATATTATTTCTTCAACCTAAATAAAAATCATACCATTTTGTGAGTTTTATAATGAATAGTTTAAATTGAAATTATTATGAAAACATATTTTGCAAATTGAAAAACTATTGCACATTTAGATATTTGTTAATGCTTTAGAAGTATATTAGTGCACACTTAGAAGGACTAAAATGTGGAATTAAACTTTAAATTGGTCAATTAAGCACCAACAATTTTAATGTACATTTCGAAATGCATGAATGCACAGTTATATGTCTTTTGGTTTCCAAGAGTTTGGCCTCCGCATGGAAGAAAGGAGTCAGGAAGCGACATTAAGACGTGGTGCTCATTTGAACAAAATACTAGCTCTTACCTGTTTCAGCCCTTCATGATTTAGTACAAATTGAGAGCGTTTCCAGTCACTGTGAGGAGCAACCGGATTTCCCACAGGTGGTGCTGTCAGATAGCCAACCTTTAAATATGGTAGTGGCAGCTGGAAAAATAAAAAAGTGTTGTTCAGTCATATTGCAAATTCAACTCAAGATAAAATAAAGTGTAAAGCTTCCACAGTACATTCCACATCCCCTCACTAGGTAAAATCCCACTGTGAGTTGGCCCCATAAAGAGTTGATCTGATACCTTATTAATGTGCCGAAAAAGACGACCAACAGGAAAAATAATTTGCAAATTTGAACCGACAGATAATAGACAGCATTGAAACTAGACGAAAAACAGTAATTATGTAATGGCAATTCTACGCACGAACAGAAATATAGTAAGCAAAAACAATTCTCATTTTCCGACTTGTTTCAACTTTTTTTAGCCAATATAGGAAACCTGCAGTATGAATAGGGAAGTCATATATTAAATGCAGAAGAAATGGTTGACTCACCATAGAACGCACAAGCTTTAAAGCACTGGTGTAAACCTGCAGTAAAGACATAAAAAATGATTAAAACATAAGATAAAAAATGATAAATTAATCCCAACCTTAATGCGCAACGATTCTCACAGACACCATAATTTTTCTTACAAATACAAAGAACTTTCCATATTAAAAGGAGAAATGAACAATGAAAAAACAATGCCAAGAATAGATTGACGCATAAGAAAGCAAGTGAGAATAACCATGTCACAATTTCACTGCATACGGAGAAATCTGCATGCTGACATGAAAAAGTTGTAATATACACTAGGGAATTAAGGCTTATTATAGTCTTGGATATCATATGAGCACTTAGTGAAAAAGTAGTAGATATAAGTAATATGAAATACACCATAAGCTTCAGCCCAAACATGATGTGATTACCGAGTAATTGGGCTTCAATGCATGTGCAGCTGCAATATATATAGCAGATTGGCTGTATAATTCATCAGGAGAGACCTCCTTTGCATTCATGTGTCCTCCAGTTCTTGATATGTCTTCTGCTAACCCATACTGCATTTTTTGGTTCAATTAAGAACAATAAGAATTACACCCTCCATAGTTTAACCCAGTTTTACGACCGTTGGTCCGATGACAATAATTTTTTGGCGAATTAATAATAAAATGCCATAAAGTTGTTGAAGGTCAAGGACTGTTAAGCTAACCAGTACAGTTCCAAGATTGTAAATAGCCCTATGGAAATCAAACTGCAATTGTATTGCCGAGCGAAACTGTATACAAGCACAAATGGTCACAATAAATAAATGAATTGATAGAACCATAAAAATATAAAAATAATTTCTTCATAGGCAATGCACAACTAAACACTCAAAGAACTTCATGGAGAATCCGAGATAGGCAACTCCAATACCTTGCCAATAGCAGTTCTCACTATTGTCTGTTTCTCACGAGCAGGAACAATTGCACTGAGTTCCTGAAAAAATGATATTGAGCAGAACATGGTAATAATTCCTCAGATACATGTATGAAAAGGGCCGTGCAAATCCAAAGTACAATCTATTCACAGTTTAACCAAAACAAAGAAAGAGAAAGGGAAAAAACATTTGGTTAAAAGAGGGAAATTTTCAATGGATGTACCTGCAACGCAAGTCCCCAATTGTTAAGTGCCTGTAAATTCATCTTCTGTTTAGTAAATATCAGGAAGACAAACTACACATCACAGATATGTAATCTCTAGAAGGAATCTGGTACAGTAGAAAAATATGTTGACTAAGATGTTTAGGGGGTGATTGTTTATCTCAACTAAAAAAAAAAAAAAACAATCAAAACTCAAATTTAACTCCANTAAAAAAAAAAAAAAAAAAAAAAACCAATTAAAATCTAGTTGAATTTATAAACAATCACCCCTTAATGAAGAAATCCAACCATGGGCATGACACGGAAATTGATATGATATTGTTAATGATAGATAGGGTTACTCATCATATCCGATAAGAAATTTAAATATTACCTGGGGACTGTTCCAATTGAGTTGGACAGCCTTCTCATAATTCTTTGTTGCCTGAAAAGTAAAAGCAGAAGGAATTATCGTTGTTGTTGTCGTCGTTGTTGTTATACACTACTCATATAAAAAATGACATGCCATGTGTATGCAATAAATAAGAGATCTGCACCAAAAATGGATCTCACTGAAGAGGTTAGTTTATATAAAAAAATTCGGTCCAGGAACATGTGAAGCTAGCAGCCTAGTCTCCAACTACATTTTCACCAGCGCACAGCACCACATCAATAGAGGTCATTCAGATTCTATGAGAGATACCCTGATTTTACTTGAACAGAAAGATCCACAGAAAGATCCAAATAAAAGTGTATTGTGATTTAACTATTGGTTGAGTTCCAAGTGGATTTGATTTATCTATCTTGGCTATCATAAACATAATTAGAATGACATTCTGATGTATCTGACTTTGTTGGTCCTTGGTGTAATAGAAGAGCTACATCGGAACCTTGTAACCATCATCTAGTGATTTATTAAATGTCTGAATGGGTTAATCAGTAGAATATCACAGTATCCACAAATCTATGAGCCTGAATTCCAGAGAATGCCACCGCATATATCATGTAAAGATCAATCAACAATATGGACAGACGAAAACAAACGAGAAGCATCTTTCCCCTTGTTCTTGTCTATACACTCTCCATCTACCTACTGAGTTTCATCATTCAAAACTTAAACAGATACATTATAAGACTCTTTTTATTATTTTGAAGAGAAATAGATAAGACCAATAACTTTAAACATCACTGGCACTCTTACAAGGATTCAAAAAGTAAAAACACAACACCACAAGAAGACACGTACAACATACAGAAAGAGAGAGGGAGAGAGATATTTCACGACATTAACTATAGACATCTGAACCAACAGAACAGAAACAAGCAATTGAGCCATAGGAAAGAACACAAGGATTAATTTCTCAATCAAACTATTAAAACAATGTGCAAAATGTAAAATTATTCAACCTGTTCCCAGAGTTCCTCCGCCTCCTTTGTACGACCACGCATTTTCGCCCGATCAGAGATTGCTATAGCCCAATTGTAGTAAGCCTGACATGAGTAAAAGTATGAAGATCTTCACTCATAGTAATAGCAACAATCCAACTAAATAATACAACAAATTAATCATCTTCAGGAAGATAATAGTACATTCTTTTAGCAAAATTAAACATCAGTTCAACAACAAACATGACAGCAAACGTAAACACGGTACACAATTATTAAACCGCGACAAGACCAACTTCTATCCTAGAGCACCAAAGGTATCTGTGTCAGACATTCTTATTGACATTAAATAGCCACAAATAAAATAGCATGGTTGCCACAAAACGAAAACACCATTATCAATAGCAGTCAAACATACATCGTTAAGTGTTGGACAAAGACGAGTAGCCTCCTCATACTTTTTACATGCCTCCTCAAGCAGCGTATCTTTGGAAGGAGAACCTGACTCTGGATTTACATTATCAGCACTTTCCTGCATTCATTGTGACAGCGTCATGAAATTGTTACAACTTACAACCTGCATAAGGATGCAACTTAACCACATTGAATGCGTACTGCTAAAAGAAAGGCAACTAGGTTAATCAAGTAACTAAGAGATAACAAAATAATAGAACGGTTATTTCAGAGGAACCAAAAGATACAGTTTAAACAGTCGTTTCCACCTTGTACTTAGTCTTAGTAGAAACATGCAAAAATATTTGTAGTATACAATGGCTTGAGGTAAGACAACTTAGATCAACTGTTTCTTGCAGCGAAATTTTAAGAATAAATTAAAATAAAATAAAGTGGGAAGAATTAACAAAAGCTAGAGTACAATCTCATAACAGTAAATTAAACTGCAACATTCAAACCTGAAGAACCAGCGCCCAATTGTACAATGCATCATAATCATCAGGATTTCTTTCTAAAGCAGTTGCATATCTGCAAAACAATGCGAAGTAGATGTGAAATGACAAACGTAGCCTCCATGAAAGTATGTTATTGAAAGCAAAGAATGCTTTAGACCAGTTCATATCATGAAGAGCCCATCCAAGTCAAGTTGCTTTGCAAATAAAACCATGAGTACAGTCCTTAATAGCTTAGCAGCATCTCCCTAGGAAATATGGGTATCAAGCATGATATAACACATAGTGTAGGTAGGGTAAATCGGCTACAATCAGCTCGAGTTAGTCGGTCTCAACGTAGCTCGGACGAGCATAGTATGTTAGTGGCTCGGACAACACAACATTATAATAGCTCGGACAACACAGCATTATAGTAGCACGGCAACAGTGTGGACATATGATAGTTTGGAAGGGTGGTATCAATATCTCAATAGGTCAAACAGTGTATCTATGCTCACTAGGTCGGAGAGCTTATGTGATGTAGACCAACCTAGGGAGAGCCTAGCCGATGGCCCGTGGCGGGGATGAGCCGGGCTGGCCATTTGTAGGCCCGCCACGCCACGCCAAATAGCGGACAACAGTGTGGACATATGATAGTTTGGAAGGGTGGTGTCAATATCTCAATAGGTCAAACAGTGTATCTATGCTCACTAGGTCGGAGAGCTTATGTGATGTAGACCAACCTAGGGAGAGCCTAGCCCATGGCCCGTGGCGGGGATGAGCCGGGCTGACCATTTGGCGGGCTGCGGACTAGCCAGCCAGGGCTGCCCGTTTGACATGTTTAATTCTAAGCTTTACGATATCATTATTTACACTTTAGACATTGCTTTCCATAGCCCGATCGTCGGAGGTTTTACGCCGGGAGGTGTTCCCGACGTATTTTGCAAGTCTCCTGGGAGCAAATCGGTTGATGGACCAACGGAAGGCCGGTTCGAGATGCAACAGTACATCAAATCAAATGGATACAAGTACAAATTCCATGGAATCTTAAGTAGACAAATGAACTAAAGTTGATAAAAAGGTTGGACATAATCTAAGATTTGTTTTGTTGTCATTGCTAAAAACTACATTGCTTTAGCATTTATTAATAATGTTTTCTACAAATATCTCAGTTCCAATATGCCTTAGGCATGATGAAGAAGGATTTTTGTCCATCACATATTAGATTTTTTCAACGAAATTCAGCAAAAGTAATTGAATAAACAAGGGAAAGTAGTCTGACAATGATACATCATCGCATGAATGAAATGGAGGAAATGAATTTAAGAGTGGCAGTTTCATTTCATTATACAGTTGATAAAGATACTATGCCTACCTCTTGGCAGCAAATGCAAGAATCCTTTGACGGGATCTACCTTCTTCATCAAGACCCGTGACATTGTTGATCAACTCCATAGCAGCATTACTCTGGTTGATTCGCTGTTCTGAGTTTGGTTGGCTGAAAAATAATTCAGGCTAAAATTATCAGTAGCATTTCAAGTAGCATTTCATCACTGTAAGCAACCAAAATTTCCCCAGCAGTCCATGAATCAAATATGGGACTAGGATCCCAGTATTAATACCATCTTGTTGTCAAAAAGAGAATTAAAAGGTGAACAGACAAAGATAAAAACAGGATCGGCAAATCGGCGAAGCAAATTTTGCTTATAATACACAAAGATGAGACTAAAGATTTTTATCAGATTAATGATTGAGATTTAAAATTTTCACATGTTTAACATCTCTATTTAGCTTCTTAATATATTTATGTAAAAATATATTTTAGATACTGAAACCCCGATACCAGCTTTGAATTGTTCTGGAGATTTGAAATACATCCAATGTGGAGTCATTAATTTCCTTCCTGAAAAATGAAGTTCCTTCACCCAATTGCAACCTAGCGAAAAAAGATAGCAATCTAATGGAGAATGGAGTTTGATATTTCACACACGCGAAAAAGAAAATGAAAGAAGAAAGTCTAATCCTATGAGGAAAATCAATAAAGCACAGAACAAGAGAGACTAACTGATGATCAAACACTGAAAAGACTTGAACGGAAAACACCGCTAACAGGAGACTAGGAAAAACATATCGCTCGAGATTATTGAAATTGAGCTGCCATGTATGCCCTCCTTCAGAACTTCTCATATTTACTTACCTATGTGGTGTGTCGCCTTCTCTTCCATCATTTTCATTGGCATCTCCATTCTTCAATTCATTCAGCAACTCTCTCATAGTAAACGTCCGATTCCCCTCCGCGTTACCCAGCTTCGAACCACTTCCCGATTCATGGTTTGACTGCATTGCGCGTGAGTCCTCACCACTTAATTCACTCGAAATTTCTCCGTCAACTACAGAAATCGGTGCCTCTGGTGGAACTTCTCCCGAGTTTTCAGCATCAGGTGATTGTACATCGGTAGCGCTAGGATCAGGGAGCTTGGGATCCGAATCGGCGGATCCGTTCTGCATCTCGGGCCGCTCGGTAGTTGCAGACATACGGATAATGGGATCGGATTTGGAAACAAGGAGAGGTAATGTAGACAACGACTAGCCTGTACTAATGAAATCTACTTGATTTGTTTGTGGACTGGCAGAATTGGAAAATCAACCCCAACGTCACCTCCTTCTTTACTCCCTTTTCTATTTGGCGCAAGTGTATCAAGACTTACTTTTTTTTATTGTAGAACCTAAATTTTAATATTTTATTAATTAGTATTATCACCCTTATATATACTGAGCTGAGCTTAAATCGTTGTCACTTGTGTTTCGTAAACTTATTTGTCAAAAATTTGTGTTTTGTATTGACAAATGTACAGGTTCGGATTTGACTCTTAGGCTTGGGAATTACATTAAACTATTTTGGCTTTTATTTTTTCTTAAGTTACTATATACTAGGGGTGTTCACGATCCGGATTTAGTCCGGTTTTAGCCCAAACCATGACCAAACCGAACCTAACGGTTAATTTTTTTTCTTATTCATAACCGGACTGGTTTTATATTTTAACCGGCCACAATCCGGACCGCATTAGACGGTCCGGTTTGGCGATTGACCGGTTAAATCCAAAATCCTTGTTTTGGGCCTTCAATTTTTTTTTTTTTCATTTTGGACTTAATTTTTATTTTTCAATTTTGGGCCCAAAAGACATTATTTGGGCCTAAAAATTAAGAAAAACAACAATAATGAAATAAAAAATACACAATTCGTCCTATAAGCATAAAAATACACATTTCGTCCCATAAACATAAAAATACAAAAGTGATGAAGATTAAATTATACAAAATGAACCCAAACAAGCATTTATTTTTCAGTCAGTTTAAACACCTGAAATAATAAGAGCAAAGCATTCGTTTTGTATTTGTCGGTCATAGTGAATGACTGAATGTATATATATATATTTGTTATAGTTTTTCAATATTTACCAGTCCAGTCCGGTTAAACCGGCGGTTTGCTGCAGGTAATCCGTTAACCGGACCAATTATTCCGGTTAAAAAAATTAACCAACGAATTTTTTAAGACTTTTTTAACTGACCATTTAACCGATCCGCGGTCCGGATTGACGGTTTTTTTTTTTGTTAAAACCGGATCGTGAACACCCCTACTATATACCACTCTTACATTTTTTCATTTAATTCATATATTATTTACCATAATTAGTATTCTTCTTCATATGTAAAATTTTATAACTTTTTAATTTGTATTTTACTTTTTATTTATGATATATTAAAATAATCATATTTTAACGATCTTTGATTGGACATACATATTGCACATATAAAATATAAATAATTTCATCTCTCTTTATAAAAAATATTAATTTTGTTTTCAAATAAATATCTAAAATATAAAATAAAAATATAAATTATTTTATAAAAAAAAATAAAAATCTGATTTATCAATACACAATAAAATAATTAATTTAATCTATTTTTTCCATAGATTTTTTTATGAAATATGAAAATTAAGTATTACATAAAATGAATTATAATAAATATTATAAAATATATTTTATCGATTTAAATATTTTATAAAGAGCTAAAGGTTATTATGTTGTTTAAAAATATAAAATATAAAGAGATTTCATAATTAATTATAATAAAATGATTTTGCGTTTCATAAATTTATAAAATAATACATTTTTGCGTAAATTAATATTATAAATTATTAAATTATATAAAATTTATAAAACTTGAAAAATCAATAAACGGGAGACACCGACTCTATAAATATAAAATAATAATCACAATAAGATAAAACTTGTTTTGTTTTAAAAAAGTTCAAGTCAGATATATGGAGTTATAAATAATATATGTTTTAGACATATATAATTTAAAAAATATAATTAAAAAATATCATTTTTGATACATTTAGTGAAAAAATACGCGCCATATTTGAATTAATTATTACTTTGTTAATTGTTATACATTCATTATACATAATTTCACAATAATAATATCAATGATTTTAATTTATTATTCTACAAATATTACTATATTTAAGTACCCGTGTAGTACACATATATCGTACTAGTTTATAAATAAGATAGAAAGTCAAATCTAGATTATATTAAGCTAGTTTGGATCGCATGGGTTGGATTGTTTTTAAAAATATTTCCTAAGCCTTTTAATGTATATGTGAAAAAAAAAATCAAAATAGAATAATAAGAACATCATAATATTTTTTTGTTGCCTTAATCAAGTGGACTGCAAAAGCCGAAGTGTTACTTTGTTGAACATGGAGAGAACCTAAGTAGAGGTGGCCGAAATACAAGAGGCCGAAGACTGGAGGGTGCCCGTCCGGAGAGAGCTAAAAGAGGGAAATATGAAATATGCCAGAAAATTTTTCGAGCTAGGGGACATTCTGTTCAAAAGGTCGTATTCGGGGACGCATCTAAGATGCGTTACCAAAGAGAAAGTTCGATACGTGCTAAAGGTGGTACATGAAGACTGTTGTAGCGATCACACCAAAGTAGCCTCATTAGTGGCAAAAATTCTGCGTGCTGGTTATTTTTTGCCCACACTTCGAATCGATGCGAGGTTAATCGTAAAGAGCTGCTTACAATGCCAAAATCATGGTCCACTTCTACACTAGCCAGCGGAGGTCATGACCACGATGAGCTCTCCCATTCCATTCGCACAACGGGGAATCGACCTGGTAGATCCGATGCTACAAGGGACAGGTCAGCGAAAATTCTTGGTAGTAGCAGTGGACTACTTCACAAAATGGGTTGAAGCAGAGCCTTTGGTAAAGATTACAGAAAAGAAGGTTGTACAATTCCTCTACAACAACATTTGCTGCAGGTTCGGAGTCACAAAAGTCCTAATCTCAGATAACGGGACATAATTCAACGGAAAGAAGATCCGAGCATGGTGCGACGGCATGAAGATCGAACAACATTTCACTTCAGTGGCCCACCCGCAGAGTAATGGACAAGTGGAGGTCACCAATAGGATCATCTTGAGTGGACTGAAAACTAGGCTCGAGAAAGCCTGAGGGGCATGGGTGGACGAATTAACCTCGGGCTGTGGGCGTATAGGACCACGCCAAGATCGACGATAGGTGAAACCCCATTCAGCCTGCCATATGGCATAGAAGCATTACTACCGGTGGAAGTTGAGGTGGCCTCGCAGAGGTCGATCACATATGATAAAGAACATAACGAGGTGCTAGCTCGAGCGGCGCTGGATACGGTCGAGGAGCTAAGGGAGCAAGCGGCAATCAGAGTAGCAACTTACCAAAAGATGTGCATAGCCCACAAAAAGAAGGTGAAGGCCCGCAAATTTTAGGTAGGGGATCTGATATGGAAAATAGTTGATGTACTTAAGCACGTTGGGAAGCTCGAACCCAACTGGAAGGGTTCATATGTGGTCAAACGGGTGCACGTAGGAGGAGTTTACTCACTGAAAGATGCCGATGGAAGACCATTACCCAAGTCATGGATTATTATAAATTTGAAGAAGTACTATACGTAAAAGTTACTCCATCTGTTTTTTGTAAACAACATGAACAAAATATCATGATTAAATGTCATCAATGAGAATGTTGGGTGAGTAAATGTAAAGAGAGAATTAGTTGGTGGGGGAATCTACAACTCTCAATAAATGAGGGTGGAATTTTATTTATAGCAGCCTAATCTGGAACTATTCAGATACTATTCATTCTGTCTCATCGCGCAGTAATTCGGGGTGACAGGTCGGTGCCGCTCTGACAGTGAGGTTTTTTTCAATGATTACCTGCCAGGCATTAAATGCACACATGTGGAGTATTTAATGCTGGCAGACCTTCATGCCGAGCTAGATGCCCTAGGGTGACAGACTAGGGTGGCGAGTCCCATCGGCAATCATTACTTGACAAGTGGCAGTATTTTATTATTTTTTGGTCCTGCACACACGTAAGTGCCACCCCGTTGAATCTTCACGCCGGACTTTCCTCGTCTCTTTGTCTTCTGGTCTTCGAAATTCTTACTATCCTGTTCGGCGTCTGGTGAGGTCGATGTTGTCCTTTGGTCACTCGAAGTACCGTTCTCGAGAACTTTCCTACACACTATTTTCGTCGACTTTGTTCCTCAACAAGACCAGCCATCCGAGGCAACCCGAATGCCGACCTGGTTTTTAGGCTCATTATCATCCGGTTTGTTGTCCTTAGTTTTGTGGGTCCATCGGGGCTCAACTCGGATATCAACAGATAACTTGGTCAAGCTCTACAACAAAGTGCCTTCTATTTTACCGCATTCACCGTCGGGTCGATATTAAGTCTGTGCTCTGTGCCTTTCGGACTTATGCCCGTTAGGTCATCTGCCAAGAATGCAAAGAGGTCTACAAATTCCCGCAGCAAAGAGATTAACACCACCTGCATATCATCTGGGAGGTAACGACCTACTTTGATGACCTTGTCTACATCTTTTTCTACGAGCTCAACCTCCATGAGCTCGTCTTGCAATGAGATCTCAGGCTTCTCATGTTTACTGCTTCTACCAGAACTTTCAGGGTGATCTGTCTTTAGGCTTTTCTTTGCTCCCTTGGCTTCTGAACTCTTGAGAATAACTTGTTAGCACCTCCTGGCTTGCCGCTGGTCTCATCAGACCTCATCGACCTGATTTCCAACTGGGAATTTTACATTTATGCAGTATGTTGATACTGTCGCCTAAAAAGTGTTCAAACTAGGTCGCCCTAGAATGACATTATAAGCCGAGGTGGAATCCACCACTAAAAAATTGATCAACCTTCCTGTTTGTCCCATTTTTGTGTCTTTATTTCATGCTTATTTTCTTTTCGTTTTCCCCCATTTGTAGGATTTTTGTAGTTTATTTGGTCCGTTTCGTTCGTTTTGTGTTTTTGTCTTTAGTTTATATTTTTGTATCTTTTCGCCGTGTTTTGCTTCGTGTTTTCTGTGTTGTGTTTTCAGGAGGTAGGTTGTGCCGGTCGATGTTAGAATTGCGTGAGCCGAGACTGTGATATCAGGAACATCCGTTACCGAGCCCAGAAAACTCGAGGAAGGTCTGAAACAGCCGACAGAAAACTGTGCCCAGAAAATCTCGCGACTCGCGAGCTGTCTCGCGACTCGCGAGTCATGTCGCGACTCAAGGGAATGTCGCGGCCCGCGGAAAAAACAGAGGCTTATGGTGCAGTGTCGATTAGGACTCGCGACTCGCGAGATAATGTCGCGACTCGCTACACA